ATAAAGTGATCAATCTTAACTTCATAATTATTTTATAATATATTTGCATAGAAAAAATTAATGGATGCATTGTCCTTGTCTCATTCATCTTAATAAATTGATTGAGTTCCACCACAAGGGGGCATGTGAATATCCAGTTCAGAACAAGCTGTTATGTAATTGAATTCTTGTCTTCCATGAACTCGTAATACTATGAATGTCAAATGAAAACATTAATAGTCTCAAGTAAAAGAACTCAATAAAAATTGAGTACAATTCTGTCCATATTTACTCAAAATTAATCATTGCAATGTTCAATGAAACTTAACTATTTAGTAAAGTCAAACCTTAGTTTCATAAGTACCTATGGACTATGGAGTCACTAAGTAGTCATCAGTAAACTAATTTAATCTACATTTATCATAAATCTGAATAATATTCCATAGCCCAAAGCTGTGGTCCTCAACCTTTTCTTTACCACAGACCCCTCTTAAATACTTTTTGTGGCCAGGAACAATGTCCAAGGACCCCCAAGACTAACTCAAGATTTAAACCATAACATTTCTTCAAGCCTTCGCATACCTCCTGTGATGACATTAGAGTGCCCTCCCATTCCCTCAGAGATCTGCAGACCAAGATTGAGAACCACTGGCTTAGAGACTTGTATAAGTGCCTTTTTAAATTAATGTACTGGAATATAATTCATAATAAATTCATTATAAAGAAAAGAAAGAATCAAATAAATCCAGAAATGACTGTAACTATAGCTCTTTTATTCCCTCAGCTCTAATGCTTACAATATCCATTTTCCATTTATCTGCCTCTTCCCATTCTTATTTCACTTCACAGCTGTTTTCCTTCTTTCCATAAGAATTAGCATTTCTACTGGCATTTGCTGAATGTACTATCATCACGCAAACCATTTCATATCAGTTTATTTTCTATCTTGCTTCCCCTATCTCCAGTTTCCATATCCCAGTCTATTCTCACCTATGTAATGTATGCTATATTATATCTAAACAGTAGATTATCTGTTAATACTTGTTTCTTTCTGTTACCATTAGTTTCAGTCTTTTCTGTTCTTTGCCTATATAGTACAATAAGTTCATTTTTGACATAAAATTGTAAATTTAAAATAAATATGAGAGGTTTTCTCTGAAAAAGAAAGCCATTTTTAATGTTAAACATAATGTATCATTCTTTTACACTTCAGTCTTGCCCATCTTTTGTTAACCTGGAGACCTTGCAATAAGCATGTGCTGTAGAGCCTTGTTCATGTAGATACACCATCAGGATTCTCATACAGTTATTTTAATTAATGAAACTGATAAGTTTCCTACTTCAAATAAATGAATATTTTCCTCTTTTTAGTATAGCTTCTTGTAATTATCTTACAACTTTCTTTATAGTACTACATTCCTAAAATATTTTTAGAAGTTGAATTATTTTATTGCATTATTTTAAAATTTTATGTATCCCTCCTTTTTTAATTCAATAAATTATTTAGAAAAGCACTTTTTTCTTCCTGGAACTTGCCTTCATGGGCTTTTCTGGAATCAGCATGTTTGATACTAATTACAAATGTAGGATTCCCCTTCTCCTTCCGTTAGCTAATAAAGAAAAACAGTTTGCAGTATATTTAATTCCTCCAGTTGTGCTAATTAACATTGAAGATGAAATTGGCAAAAAAAATATTTTGTTGGCGGATCTAGTGCAGATAGAGTGTAGAAAATTTGACAAGATTAAAAAAGGATTTTTTGTTATTTGAGGACACAGTGTACTATTTTCTCCAAAGTGCAGGGTTTTCCCTTAAAATACTTGCTGACATGGAAGTGTATCCTGGTAACCATAAGTATTTTGGCTTTCTCTAGAATTAAAGGATTTAACATGTTATAATAAAACTGTTGTAACAATACAATAAAGTAGATAAAGAGATGTATCTAAACATTAATTGATATTTATTATATTTATTTATAAAACAAAAATTATTACTTCACTTCCATTGGATAGTTACGCATCTTTAAAAGAGGAAATTGTTGGGTTCAAAAAATAGTTGACAATGTTGTACTCAAAAGACAGCATTGGCTCAATGATTGGTTGTATATTGCTTCCTTTGGGACAGATGTTATTTCACATATTAATTCTCCCTAGTACACTGGTTGTTTTGCAAACATTTAAGCCTGAAATTACTAGGAAGTCAGTAAAAACGGATATTCCATTTATTTATGATTGAAACCATTGTAATAATAATAATATATAGGCACATGTCCATCCATGAAGATTCAGAAGGAAATTTGACCTAACTGGGATCACAATTTGACCTAACTGGGATCACCCAGGCGAAATCAAGAATTCCTTGAAGCCTAGTTTTCTACCAACAAGTCAATAAACAGACATATTGACATCAATCCTGTCTACTAGTCACTGAGGAATGAAAGAACTGCATCAACCATGATGCTGAAGATAACATTTAAACTGAACAAACAGCCACTACTACACCACAACAAAACTATAACCCATCAGCTCACAAGAAATCAGACCATGTCTCAAAAACAATCAAAACAATCAAAAACAATCAAACAGTCTGAAACCAGACCATGACTCAGAAGTATCTGAACAAACAACACTAATTTACATCACGTAGAGACAGTACTTAAAACCAAAGACCATGCCTCGGTAACAAAAGCCAGCCAATCAAACAGTCCAAAGACCATAACTCAGAAGTAGTCGAACAAACAACATTCCCACTAATTTGCATCACACAAAAAGATATTTAAAGACCAGTGTGCTAGAGTTTGCAGAAATTCAACTGGCACACAAGTAAATAATTCAGCAGGATTCATTTATAGAAGAAAGTTGTTTATATACAATATAAAACATGATGCATGTATACAATATCCATACAACATGGTAGCAAGTACATGGACAAGAAACAAGCCAGAACCAGCAGAATTCAGAATTACAGAAGTTCTATATTTATGCAGACCAGTTACCCTAAGCCACGCCCAGTCTCCAAGCTGTCTGACATGGCTCACAACAGATTCTGTTTCTTAATCACCAAACAGTTCCCATTGGATGCTTTGTTGTTATGGCTATCCCAGCTCATAATTTCTTATATACTGACACAGTGTTCTGACAGACGAGCACAATTCAAAGTGCACTGATGATGTCTCATCAAATGGTGTTGAAACATTTGCAACCAAATTGCCAAGCACAGATATCAAACCAACAACCTAAACTACCAACCTGAGCTACTAATATTCAAATACATTTCATAGGCACATATTTTCCATCAGTTGTAAAATGTACACATTTCCCAACAATTGTTACATGATCTAAAGAAGTTATTTCTCCTTGTGTACTTGAGCAAATGTTTATGTATCAGAAGTGCTACTTGTAGTATAATGAGAGATTTAGATTGCATATACAGTTTACATGCTTAATGTCCCAGTTCACACTAAGTATTCATACACTGGCTTGATTTTAAACAGTTTACTGGAGCAGTCACATATTAAGGCGAGCAGAGCAATTACATACATACTCTGGAAATGCTTTGTTTGAGAATCAAGCTGTTAAAGAGCTCAATCCAAAATAAAAAACTGAAAATGGGTCCAGAGATACAGATAGTCCTTAAGTTACAACCATAGTGAAGTTTATTCATTACAGTTGAAAATCAGGATGGCTGTTAAGTAAAGCATGGGGTTCCTCGGGCAGGGGAGACCCTGAGAGCCTAGTACAGGTACAAGCCCACCTGCCTCAGGCCTCCAAAGGCCTTTCCCACCCCCTGAGATATTCCATGTTCTTTCTTCCCCTTGAGATCCCCACAGTGGCTTGGGCTCCTTTCCACTCCCGTCACAATCACACACTTACCTTTCAAAGCACCCAGGAAGTTGGAGAGAAAAGGAGGAAAACTGTTCCATTGTTAGGCCGCATGGCATAAAGCCATAAGCAGCTGTCTTTTTCTGAGCGTAGCTGCAAACCACTGTGACCCATGCAGCCCAGCAATGAGGCAGTTTATAACTGTGCAGCATGATCACAGAAGCACTGGTTTGAAAAATGACAGTCCACCTGTGGAATCCCAGCCACAGAGATGGACCTAAACTTTCCCCTGGTTCTCTGCTCAGGCCTGAAGCTATGAAAGTACCCCATTCATATCTATTGGTTGTGATGTTTTCTTGGCTACTATGAATATTATTGTTTGTAATTGCTTTGATTTAATATTGTTTTCCATCTATTATTTGTTCAGGGGGTAGCTATACAAATTAATTAAACATTTAATTATACTGTAATTATTAATAATAGTTCCATAGTGTCATTTGATCATATTTATCTTATTGTGACTTTATATTCTAGTAATGGTAAGGGGAAATGAAAGCTCAAAATCCATGGCATGTATGAATTGTGTTTTATGCAGCTTGAGCCCATGAGCCAGCTCCACAGTGCCACATTTTTACAATTTGACTTTGAATACATATACTTCAAAAGTTTTCTGCTTTTAAAAGTATAATCGTAAAATAGTTAGTTGGGATTATCTGTCCTTACGTGAAAACTTTGCTATCATCACAGTCTAGTTGAGTAATTTATTATAAATAATTGTATTATTTCAGAGTCAGTTTGATGTACTGTTAAGACTAAAAACTGGGTGTGTATGATTCTAGTTCTACTTTAGTCACAAAGACATCTGAGTAACCTTTTCTGGTCAATTTTTCTCAGCCCTGGAAAGGAGAAAGGGCAAACCACTTCTGTAAAAGTCTTACCAAGGAAACTGCAAGGACTTGTTCAAGCAGTCTCCATTTGCACAGACAAATTGAACAGAAGAAAATAATTATGTAGGCTTCTATATGAATATCAAGAGAAATCTGCCATAGAGAATTTTTTCTTCTTTCTATGAGTATCTCAGAAACATAGTTTTTCAAATTATGATTATTAGCTGTTGAACTAAAGAGCGAATATTTAAGCACAACATCAAGATACTAAGTTATTATCCCTGAATGCTATTTTATTCATCTCCTTTTTTTCAGCATTTAGCCCTAGCAGTGAAGTTCCTTATGTCCTATGTGATAGCTGACAAACCCCGTGATATTCAGATAAAACTGGCAAGGCTAGAATTTGTATCTTTGGAAGCACTGAAACAGCAGGTAAGGACTCTGATACAGGCAAGACAAATGCAGAAAACTATATTGTTTTAGTCTGTAGAGTTTCTTACAAGGCAAGACAAATGCAGAAAACTATATTGCTTTAGTCTGTAGAGATTCTTACATATTGTTTTTCTTAATTAATTAAATTATGTGACAATTACTCATTTGTTTAAAAAATATATGATGGTAACAGCTGTTCAATTTTTAATTTTGAAAATAATATTAATCTATAATATATGTCTGCATACATGTCTGTAGGTCTACATGTATATATCTCCACTATAATCCTCATACAATATTAATTGCCAACATTAAAAGGTTTAAGGTTAATTAATAGGAGCTGTGACGGTGCAGTGAACTCCACAGCTAGGAGTAGAGCCCAGACCAGCTCAAGGTTGACTCAACCTTCCATCCTTCTGAGGTCGGTAAACTGAGGACCCAGATTGTTGGGGGCAATATTCTGGCTCTGTAAATCAGCACTATGGCGTGGTATATAAGACTAAATACTATTGCTATTGTTAATGACATTTGGCATGTAATGTATTCTTAACAGGTCAAAAGTAGAATGGCATTTTCCATTTAAAGATTCATTCAGTAAAATTTCATTTGATGCCACAATCTTTCCCATTAAGTTTTCTCTTGATAATTATACAATGTCCCCTTGAGTTTCTTAGCTATTTTATTACATATTTATTTTGACACTGTCATGTATAACAGTATGGCTAATCCAACAAAATATTTTGTCCATTATATGGACAAAATAATATCGTAAATATCTAATACAATACTCACAGTTTTTCCATTTCAGCTCTCTCCTTCAGTATGATCAGATGTGTTGTAGAGAAAATGTTACTGTATGGCAAATATTAAGATTCTATTTGAGCTATATATATGCAGTGTGTGTTGTGTGTTTCTGTCCATGACTTCCCAAAACACACAATCCAAGTAAAGCTTGAATCTAATATGTTGAAGTTGAATTTGGGGTGAATCCTTTGGAAGAATCCTTTGGGAAGCTTGGCAGGGAAAAAAGGAGGGAGGGAGGGTAGCACCCCCTTAAATGCACTCCCGACCCTCATCTCCTTGAAGGGCAGAAATAGGATGGAAATCCACCTCCTGGATTTCTCCTGGCAAATCCCAAAGACACTATTTCCTCTCTCTTTCCCTCCCTCCTTCTTTCCCTGCCAAGCTTCCCAGCGGATCCTCCCAAAGGGGTGGGGAGGAAGCTGCCCAGCCAGTCTGTATTCTTAAGAAACTGATGGGGGGAATGAGAGTAAAGAAAACTTAAAGAGGGGGAAAAGGTCCTGGGGGGGGGGGTCGGGTGGATGGAGCAAGAGGAGAGTGCCTGACCATACAGGGGATGAGACCATGACCTGAAGCTCTGGGGCAGAAAGCAAAGCAAGGCATAGGGGGAGAAAAACGATGGCATCACCCTTCCACTGCCGCTTCCACCCACCAAAGCCTGAATGACTTACTAGCTTGCAGGACGTTGTCGATGCAGCCGCCATCAAGCAAAGCGATGCCCCTGCAGGAGGGCAAGTGGTCCTTGTCGGCACTGGGGTCTGTCCCGCCGCTGCTGCCGTTGTTGGAGATGGCGCTGAGAGAGGCGCCACTGCCGGCGGGAACCAGGGACGCTACAGAGGTAGCTCCCCCGCCCAAGAAGCAGCTGAAACGCTGCCGGCAGAGGAAGTGGCAGTGGCGCAAAGTGCCCCTCCGCTGCTGAGGCTGACATCCACGACAACAACACCCGCTCACTGACCCATCCTGCAGCCAGCACCATACCCGGGTCTGCAGCAAAGGTGCTTGGTGGGGGTAGGGAGCCATCCACGCTCCGGCATGATCGGCTGTTAGAAGGCATGATCGGCTGGTGGCAAGGCATGGCTGCCCGCAGGGCGTTCCTAATGGCAAGTTCCTCCCACCCTCCCCCCATTTCACATGTTTTAAATAGGCCTAAATTTGGGGGGAGGGGCTTAATTTCACCTCATACCTAGAAAACATGCTGGGCCTTCCTATTGGGGGGGCATATTGTTGGAGAAAAACGGTATTAAAAATATTTTTATGTTGACATCATTTTAATAAAATGCACTATACTCTTTCAGATTCCTTAACATTAAAGGGAAAAAAAACTTTTAAAAATCTTCATTTTAAAACTTTAAACTATTCTTTGAAAATATTTCTAAAATCAAAACATTTTAGCACATCCTCTTTTGGCTACTTTTTAACATGTACACTTTCATATTTTACAAGGTTTAGGAATTACTCAAGCATTATATTTAAAGGGGAAAAAAAGAAAAGACCCATTTCCAAACTACAAGTATTAAACACTACTATATAAATTACAGTTTTATTCTTTTAAAACATACTGAACACAAACAGTTGAGGCATCGATTAACAATACCTCTTCCAATTTATCTGGATTAAACTTCATTTTGATTTGACATCTTTTTTTTTTAAGCTGGCAGATCTCTGATTCGATCTGAAGCATGATCTTCCGTGCTTATTATGAATCCCAATTGGGAAAAGAAGCAGAGTGAAAGATTTACAAAAAGAGAGAAAAATATTGCCTATGACCATTTAGTTTACCTAATCCAGTGAAGGAGTAACTACTGTACAAAAATGCTGCCCAGCTCTGGTTGTTTAGATTTGGAGGAGAATAATTCAAAACTTAAGGATAACTGCATTGGTATGTCGGACTGTTGCTGGCCTCTAATGGAAACATGCTTAGCTGTTAGCTCCAGCAAAGTTTATTCCCACTGAATGATATGCCAATTTATGTGGTAAAATGCAATTCAAAATTTAACAACTTCAGCATATGGCAAAAGTTTTTTTTATGGTTGCATTAGATCTCAGATAAATTTAACCTATAACCACACCATGAGACTTAAAATTTAAAAACCTACAAGAATCATTGTGGTCACCTGTTTAGCATGACGAATAATAAATCAAAATCTCAATTCTAGCATATGCTAAAGAGAAAAGTTATAAGTCTATTCAGTTGACACTTCATGACTTCATCAGCCCTTATATAATATAACAATATATTCACTGTTGTGGTCACACCACTGCATCCTACACTGTCTGAGTAGTGTTATTTCTTTGTGCAGTTAGAACCAGGGATGGGATACGACAGGGTTAACTACTGGTTCGGGATTTACGAGCTTCCCTACAGGCTGCGAGCTGTGTGCCTGTAAATCATCATCAGCAGATGCCTGTAGAGAAGCAGCCTTTGAAACAGCCCTTTTTTCTTGCTGTTCTAACTGCAGCTGTGCCTCGTTCGGCAGCTGAAGTTGAAAAATCAGGAAATAAAGATCAGGTAAGAGCTTGGGTAGGTGGGCGGGCAAAAACATCAGCTCTTCAGAGCTACCGGTTCTACAGAGGTGGACAGAACCGGTAGAAACCCACTCCTGGTTAGAACTGTTTCTTTCAGTATGAAAATATTTCCTTTTTATTCACAGTAAGCTCACCTGACTGTAAACAGCCACTGTGTTTCAGGCAATCAAAATAATCCATTTGTGTATGCAGTATTTTAAAACAGATCTTAAATATGTAGGCTAGCTCTAACATTGATATTCTTGAGACTTGTTTGAAGACTGTCAAGTTTTTTTAAGTACTTGGATTTTTTTTATAAATAATAATTTGGGTAAAAAGAACTCACTGCTACCTTGGTAGAAAGCACCCATGCTTGCTTGTTGTTAAGCTTAGAAATCTTTGAAAGCTTTCTGACTATAATCTGTTTCTCTCTTTTTCTGTTTTGTACTACTGTTAAACAAATCTGGTTCTTGTGAGAAGTCAGGCATTTCTACTGCTTGGTTGTTTGGCCTTAGGATAAATTTGTGGAAGGCTTAGAGCAAAATCTGCCAATCTGGTGCCCCCCTCCCCAAATATTGAATTATGATTCCCATTATCCCCAATCATTTCTCTTACTTGCTGGGTTTGCTAAGAATTGTTCTAAACAATTTCAAGCCAAATGCTTTTGGAAAATACCATTTCCATTTTTCTGCAGAATTAGTAGTAATGTTTAGTATCATGTCTAGATTTCTTCAATATGCAAATGGCAATACTTCCTAACCAGAGAGTAGAATACAGAACCTGTGTACCTCATACCCTCCTGAATGATACCTACAGGCAGATCTCATATGTATATGTGAAATGGGCAGCTATAGAAATGGACATCAAAGAAATTGCTGTGAACAGGAGTTTGTGAATTCAGGAACAATTTCAAAAGCCTAAGTTATATGCCACTGTAAGGTACTTTTATTATAAACACTAGCATATGGGATGTAATAAAGGAATTGATTCAACAAGTGCTTGTTCATGTCAGAGAACACATTCAATTTGATTTAATTAGTTTATACATATATAAAAATTCAAGTTGTTTTGAAATATGCTATTTTTATTAACATTATTTTTTAAATAGTCATAAGATCTGGACTTCTGACTAGATTGAATTGCTTATATCTCTCATTTAAGCAGTGGTGGGATCCAGCCAGTTCTCATCGGTTCACTAGCACTGTTTGTTAATTTTATGTGCGGTTCAGTGAACCGGATGAATTTGCTTGGCCTGGCCCTGCCTCACCTCACCCACCCCCTCCTGAGGGTTCCCTCCCTGAGAAAATGACCTGTCTCAAGATCCCATGGACAACCTGGGCTCTGGCAATCAAGTTCCATGCTCATTCCCTCTCTCTACAAAGCAAAGTAATTGCAGAAAGGTGCTGCCAAGCCGGCTTCAGAGAATACAATTCCTAATAAATGCATTATGTGCAGAGAAATTCATGCTACAACCAGCAAATCACGTTTTCCAAGGAATTGATGAAACCGATGAAATCCTGGCTGGCTCTTTAGCCAGTTGCTGAAGGAAAGGAGCAAGGTATAAGGCTGCCCAAAAGTTCCTTCCCTTTGTGCAGCAAGGCAAGGTCCATAGCAGTAACGAAGTCAGAAAGCCCAGCAGTAGAGAAGCAGCCATGGTCCCCCTTTGAAAGCAGTCTACTAAGAAGTGCTCTGTT